TCTCTCTCTCTCTCTCTCTCTCTCTCTCTCTCTCTCTCTCTCTCTCTTTTCCAAATCTATGCGCGTTTAATTTGTGGAATATACATCGAAAAAAAAATATGTTATGACGATGATGGATGGAAGAGTGTGTCGGTTTTTGTTGCGTGCGTATTAATATTCGCTCCACCCGTTCCATCCATATATTTAATTTTCACAACAAAGCACAAAATTCGATGATGAACAGATCACTGAAATAAATTGAATAGAAACACACGGTGTAAATATAGCCAAGACCAAAATACAAAAGAGTTTTTCCTTTGCTTCAGTGTTGCGCTTTAATAACCTCCCGACACACAGGCACATACATACACACTTTTCGATCGGGAATTGAACGCAAAACTACCGACCGACAACTACAATCGAAATCAAATTTCAAAAGAAAGTGTCGGATATACCAAAGAGAATCGGCGGCAAAGGCGCAATCAATGAACGAACAAATTCATTGAACGCTCTGAATGTTTGGCTGCACAGTGTGTGCCTTTGCATCGGGCTGTGTGTCTCTTCGTTTGGGTTCATTCATCGATTGCTGAAATGCGACCAGATTGTGATTCGATTTGAAAAGTGCGGCTCAACTGGAAAGGATTGAAATTGCATGTCGCCTACGACATTAGCACTATTTACCTCTGATTATCGTTATTAGTGAGTGTTCAATTATATCGAAATACAAGAGAAAGAAAGAAAGAAAGAAATGAATCGATCGAATGTGGAAATGAAATGCGGACTCCATTGGCAAAATGGAAAATGGCAACTCCGACGTGCCATTGCTCTATTGAAACTGTCTAATGGAGACACAATGCACCTTTTTTTGTTCGCTTCGATTAGGTGTCAAAACTTGTAATTTTCGGTAAACGAAGAGCGGAACGCTTTGATGATCACATGATGCCGACTCGTTAACCGACCAAACCCTTCTCAACATTGTCAGGAATTACCTATGATGATGAGACAGTTTTCTTCACTCTTTTTTCGTTCTTGAACCATTTTTTTCTCGTAAAAATCCTGAAATTTTTTTTTCTCTGCTTCTGAAATTATGGAAAAGAAGATCGTCCTGAACAATTGAAATCTTGTAAATCTTATAAAAACAACGTTCGGAAGCGTAAAAGGAAGAAGGAGGATGGAAGAAAAGAAGAGAGTGATTTAATTTTTCGATTTTTTGATTTTATTTTGATTAAGTGTCGACCACCGAATCATATCTAGATAATCCTTAATCACATAAATATCACATTATTCTCTATTAATTTAATATACCATATATGTTCAATTACAAATTTACTTTAAACAATCAATTACAAATTATAATAAAACATGAGAATGGGGTTGTCGTGTCCAGTTGTTGCGTTTTCGTTTCTATTTTCTTTCTTTCTCTCTTTTGTACAAAACGAAACTGGATACACGCGCACGCGCGCGCTCACGCACATACACATAATTAATATATTTCGTCTAATTTAATTTAACTACGGGCCACAATCCATTCAACTTTGCCTTGAAACGACGACAGGTTTAAAGAGTTGCTGCTGTTGGGCTGACGCTGAGAGAATGTCGGTGGTTTCGATGGGTGGACTATGGTGTTGAAGATGAGATTGATGTTGTTGGAGTAATTGTTGTTGGTAATGGAGTCTTTGATAGATTTCGGCAGGTGTATGGTGTGCACCATTGCTACCGTTCATCGAAGGTGATAAAACAAGATTGGATGCAAGACCTGGATGGCCCATCAGACGATCCATTGCGAAATTTGGTGGGATTCCTAGAGGCAGCGACGGAAGATTGGCGCGTGGTTGCATTGCAGCTGCGGCAGCAGCAATCGCTGGATTCGATCCATAACCATTGTAACCATAACGATTGTACATAGCTTGGATCAATGCAGCTGGATTTGAGGCAACAGCAGCGGCAGCGGCTTGTTGTTGATAGAAATAATTGCCAAAGTTTGGATAGCCCATTGGTGGAAAGATTGGTGCACGATTGAAGGCGGCCATACGTGATCGTGATGCGACTTTTGAGCGACGGCGCAATTTGCTGCCAACAATAACATCATCGGCCGATGGGTCCAACATCCAGTAGTTACCTTTGCCTGGATCATCATAGTGGCGTGGCACTTTCAGGAAAATTTTATTCAAACTCAAATTGTGACGAATCGAATTTTGCCAGCCTTGCTTATTTTCCTGATAGAATGGATACTTCTTCATGATATAATCGTAGATTCCGTTTAAGGTGAGCCGCTTTTCTTTGCTTTCTCGAATTGCACTCATGATCAATGCATTGTAACTGAACGATGGCTTCTCATGCTTTGTGCTGCCATCCTTTTTGTCCGATTTTGATTTGTCGTCGTCGCCTTTTTCATCACCAGATTTTGATGCATTGTCCGTTGTTGATGGAGCATCTGCAAAAATTTAAATAAAAGAAAGAACGGATTTAGTTGGATATTTTTCAAAATAAATGACGGTGGTTTCTGTTTTGTTTATTGAAAAAAAAAAGCTTTGTTATTTTGCAAACACACATTTTTATAAAATGAGCATGTGATGAAGAGGAACGTTCATGTTCTTTGTATTTCGTTCGGCTACGTAAAATTCACCTCATTTCAACGGCTTCCATCTTTTTTTTTATTTATACGAGCCTCGTATTTATACAGTCAAGTATAAACAGATTATGCTTTAAAGTATAAACAAATCGATCGTATTTTTTCATTGATCGTTTATTCTGGCGTAGATTGGTGCTTCAAATGTTTTTGAACTGCAGCGAAAGTAGAAATGGAAGCAGCAAGGAAGGAGAAAAGTGTAAAAAGGGAAAATAAAGTGACGATTGAAAAGTATTTAACAGGCAATCGTTAAATGAATCGTTGATTGGACCTCCAAAGTGGGTAATAATGGCGCCTTTATCACTTCATTCAAGAAATTGCTGCAATTAAACTGCAATTTGGTATTTGTGAAGCGGAACAAAATGTGCTGGGACGGAAATTAAATGGAAAATTGTTGATTTTTTTTTTTCAATTTAATTCTTTTGATTTTGAAACAAATGGAGACTACACATGAGAATTGAAGTTAAATTGTTGAACTAAAAGTGATACATATTTCAGGAGGAGAGTTGAAATGAGCCGAAGTTTGAAAGTTTCAACAAATCTTATTTCAAACCGGAATCAATAAGACGATAATTTTATCGTTTGTTTGGCGACGGATTTCTTTTTTGCTTCTAACACATGGTTTTTGAACTTTTTTTCTTCCACATTTCATCACAAAAGTATGTTCGAATAGTTTTTTTTTCCAACTCATTATCACAAAGTTGCACAAAAATGTTGTTTTCTTTTCGTTCAATGGATGCTTACCTTCCATGTCTGATTCGTAATCCACATTAACATCACCATCGGTGGATGCATTATCAGCATCGGATTCAGCTGATGGTACTGGTGATGCTTCGGCCGACGTATCACGATCCATAAGTTCGGGTAAAATTGTGTTGATTGAAAAGTTGGATTTCGAAGGTACTAGTGCCATGGTCGATAATAAAGTCGATACTCCATTTTCCCGTTTCTTTTCACATTTATTCATTTTGATTTTTTTTTTTTTTTTTTCAAATAGCTCACTTTGTTGAACTTGATTTAAAATTGGTTGAACTTTTTTATTCAAATAAATTCTTCTTGTTTTTTTTCTCCTTCAAACAGTTCACAAAACTGATTTATTTTTCTTCACTATAAAGTCCTCAGTTTATTTTTTGTTGCTTCAAACAGTTGAGAACACAGAAGATTAAGTCAAATCAGTATTCCGGTTCGTTCCTTGACTATTCTACGTCTTCACTCGAGAGCCGTCGAACTTAAACTAATTTATGTTTGTAACTTCTTGCTGCTAGTCACATGCGATTCGTCCAACCTTTGAATGTTGCTCAAAGCAAACACACAACACACTGCGTGTGTCAGTGTATGCGTGAACGTGTTCGGGCCAATGAGAAACAAACGATATCGATCTATGCACACAGTACACCGCCTCTCTGACACTCATACACATGCTCAGCACAACGGTTGTGTTTATTGTGTGTTTTTGGTAGCGTGCGCAATGCAAACATATACACGAAACACGGTACGTGAGACTCCACCCGTCATAGCAGCCGCTGTTTATTTATATTTTATGGTAAATATTGTAAATTATGAATACTATTGTTGGGAAAATAATATCGTTTAGTTTACCAAATTAGGAGGTAGAAACATGAAAATATGTTTATACACAAATTTCAAACAAATGTTTAATACGTACATACGGAATCGCTAACTCAAGTTACGAGCGCGTATATATGTGTACGTATGTATGTGGACGGAGCGAGATGGTGTGAGAGTGAGAGAGAGATAGAGTGCGGCAGTTGTTCGATTTGGTCGCGTTTGATACGATTAGTGTAGTTGTTATTTACAACAAATCAATACGTGTGTGTGTGTATGGCGAGAATGGTACGGCCACGGATCGTCGATGTGTTAACCGATTCGGGAGTATAGTTTGATGTTGGTATTTAGCTGTTTAGTGTTGGGCATATTGTAATAAAATATTTGGTGCATTATTCTCTCTTGTTGAATTATTTCTTTCTTCTTTTTTCAGGGCTTTGTTCGCTTCGCTTTGCATTGCGCGCGGATGGTTCGGGTGAACGAGCCATCCAGCGACCGACCGACCGTTTTTATTACGAGACAGATTGTGCATCCGACTCTTTGAGGTAGTGTGTACATATTGAATAACTACCGTTCATATTGATATTTGTTATTGTTTTGGCTTCGTGTCAGAGAGCATGGATACGCGCTCTTCTGCATTCTACGACTCGCTGCCTCTGCTTTTTTTCCACTCTTCTTTTGAACCCTTATTGTGGGTTGGGCTTATCGCATTCATTTTTTTTATGTTTTTCACTTCGCCTCTGCGCTAGCGAGCATTTTTTATTTATTTATTCATCTTCATGATATTTGTTCATTCTTTGTGTACAAACTGAAAACTATAACCGTTTTAATGTAACACAAAATATTGTGCAACTCAACCGATTTGTTGTTTCTGTTTTTTTCATTATTCCATTCGTTCCATTCCGCTTCGTTTGGTCGCTCCTCTTCTTTTCGTTATACTACGTGATTATTGTTGATTAATAAAGGCGATCCAGCTGATTGCGAGTGTGAGAGAGTGTGTGTGCTGGTTGGCACGAAGACTTTTTGCTGTATATTAATTTTAATTACTATTTATGCATCATCATTAGTGAAGTAGTTTTGGGGAATGTGTCGACAAATTTGTTAAACAGATTGTTTGCTTCTTTTTATTTGGCATTGGACCAAATTGCGGCACGTTTGAAATTTGACGCAGGATTTTGTTCACTTTCCTCATTTTTTTTCCTCACAAAGCGGAAGAAACGATTGATTTCATCTTTCCCTTAACTGATTTCTTTTGAATTTCGAACAAATTGGAAGAGAAATTTCTCTTTGAATGCATTTTTGGTCATATTTTTGCTACGTTTTATTTTATTCTGTACAGTGGTTTTCATTTTTTTTCCGATTATTTGTAGTTTGTTCATTTCTTTTCGAACTTTCATGTCATTTTTCAATTTTGTCAGTTTTTTCACTCTAAATAATTCATTCTTGGATTTCATCTTTTCTGTCTAATTTCATTGGAATGTTTATCTAAACTGTTGTTCATTTTTCCGTGTTTTTTTTTTGCTTAAAATATCGGGTTATTGATCGATCAATCTGTCGAGAGAACCAGCTTTCAGTTATTTTCGAGGTTCTAATTATTTGCTTTAAATGTAAATTTTAGTTAAATCTCAATATTTATTTTTGAGATTTCGTAAATTTATGCGCTTAAAAACATCATCATATTTTGCATTTGTCGCTAAACATCAAAAGTCAAAACAAAAATTAGCCGCTAATTTTAAAGCGTTCCCAATGTGTTCGGTATGCAAAGGTATCGATCACCACACAATCCATCGATAATAATCACACACACCAGACAACAAACATATGGCTAAACAAGCTAAACAATTTGCTTACGGATCGAAGGCGATTAATCCTTTGATTAAAACGTTATTTAAAGACGAAAAAAAAAAACTAATGGCGATCCATCAATTTTTCGTTTCACGCTTAACAAAGCACATACACAGAAAAATGATATCATTTACATTCTCGCGTCGATTGAATCAAACAGGCACCCGACTTATTACATAAGTAATTTATAACATTTGAAAATGTCTTGGCCTATGAATAATTTATAGAAAGCCATTGGAATGGCCAAATTGAGCGTGAACGAGTTTTTAATGGTATGCATTGGAAATGAGAGCATACGCGCGTCCCGTGTTTGCTCGCACTATTAATCGGTCGCATGTCGAATGGGTTATATATATATATTTGGTTTAGGTGCTGAAATTACAGTTTACATATGGCTTGACAAAGGAGTCTTCGAATGTTTTCTAATGATTTAACGAAGGTGCTAAGTTATTAACTTAAAGTTAACAGATGTAATTATTTTTCAAAATATTGAAATTGCCTTTAATTCAATATACATTGCTCTCAATAGCACCAAAAGCAGTAGCAGTTGTGTTTTGCAATCGGTGTTAATAATCGCTCGGCGTTAATCGGCAGGATTTGTCGAGCAAATAACATGTATCGTTGGTTGTTGTTGACAAACATGGAAAAAAACATCGTCGCCGTTCTACTCAATTTGTGTTTAACGTTTTCCGCAACATACCGAGCGGCGCTATTGAGTTGCTACAAGCAACAAATCATTAAAAGTGTCGAGCGAAAAATCCAAATATTGGTGTATGGATTTGAAAAATAAAAACGATTGTTACCGTAAACGAAAGACGAATAAACGAACACAACAAAAAAGTCTACACACACACACACACGTCGAGTTTTGCATAGAATGCTGATTCAAGCAGAATGGCGACAATATTTGGAACGTGCTTTTTTTCCTTCGAAAAAAATCAAAGAAATATGAAATAAGCGAAATGGTCACAAACTGTCGCTCCAGTACAGTGAACCTCGCATAAATGATTCAACACACAGTCAGCAGAAAGTGGATAAATTGGCACTGTCGGCTGTCGACATGTTCATGTTGGCGAGGATTAACTGTGTTGCTTGCTATTAATGTTGATAAAATACAAATTTTCCAAGGATAATATGAGCGTTTTAACGATAAAAGCCGACACGTGACCATAAAGCGATAGTTTGTTTGTTTGTTGTTCTCTCCATGTGCTTTAGGTGTTGTGGAACATGGTGTTAGCTCACGCATAAAATCATTACCAGGCAACATTAAAACGCTATTCATCGCATGCGATTTTCCTCTTTCAGTCGAGCCGCATACACACAAACACTCACAGTTTGGTGTCGACCGAAAAACAGCAGCGACAGCAGCACCAGCAGCAGCAGCAGCTCAACTCTCTCTGTTGTGTCGTTGTCGTCAGCATATCAATTATGTATACAGTTTCTTTTCATCGAACAAATTTAACTAATTTGTATCACACTGAAGTGGTGAACGAGGGTGGCGACCAACGTTTTTTTTTCTTCTCAATACGTATGCCTCATTCGTATAATAATAATGAGCCGTGAATCGTGCTTTAAATGCGGCGCTTACATGATTTGTGTTGTTAGCAAACAGTTGGCATTGTCAACGCACACCGAGTGAAAGAGTCAGATTGCCAAAATGAAACGACATTCATGTGTTTCAATGGAATACAATAAACGAGAGACGCGACGACACAAGTCAAAGGGTGAAATAGATTTTACGTGTTTTCATATAAATAAAATGATCGGTTATTGGGCAATTCTTTTTTTTTTCTCGTCACACACTAATGATCTATTAATTGGGAGTTTGCCTACTGTGATTTTCGGCTATACGCTCAGCCGTTTATCAATTATGCAACACTATTTCGTTGTATTCACATGCATGAGTGCGACTAAAGCTTTACACTCTCTGTCTGGTTTGTGTTATGCTACACAAGTCGAGTTAATAAGACGTGACATTCTACTGTGAAACTGTCAATTGCTCTTAATTATTACGCTCAATTAGAACGATGCCCATTTGATTTTCATTCGCGGTTACTCATCATTCACTTGGCTTCAAGACCTGATCGATCATATTTCATGAACATGAAATTTCCGAGTCAAATGTCAATTTTCTTCAAGAATATTCTTCCAATTAAAATTGGTTCATACGGATTCGATTCGATGCAGCAAGTGATTTCGCAACCCAAATAGATACAGAAAAACAAAACCATTCGATTCAGAATCAATAAAATGTCGCGGCTGTACGAAATTCGAATAGGGAACACAATATACGTATCAACGATAACAGCATATATCGACGGGCAATTGGCTTTAAAAACGACGCACGTGGGACACTGTTTGCGCTTCACTTTGATGCTCATTAATTTGAGGAAAAAAGAGAACGAACGGGCGCAGTGGCAAACGACCCGATCATGTTTATGCCATGTAAATATTGATGTTGTTAACATTAGGTTAACCAACAACTGAACAAGAAGATCAAATAACAGCATATCCAGTTGCGTTTCGTTCATTGCGCTTCAGTAGCAAAGTCATATCTGGATATGGATGATGACTACGATGACGACGCGAAGAGAACGCTGACTCTCTTGTGTCCCTATTGCCTTGGGTTTTTTGTTTCACGCACTTCGGCTCAAAGATGATGGTGCCGCCGCCGACAACCACAACATATTTTTCCATGAGATTCTCTTTTGCGGCAACCGCGCCAACATACCAAAATGAAAACATATCAAAAATATTTTTATTATATAATACCCACAGAATGACAGTAAGCAAGTAAATCGAGCGACAGAAAAAAAAATGAGGAAGAATAATAATTTGAAAAAGAAATAAACATTCTTTTTCTTTATGGTTATTTAGTTGGATGTGTGTGAATAGCGTCATTAAAGTTCTAAAAATACTAGTTGTTCAGTGCGATGTTGTATGCATAAAGATTACGTTGTTGTTGTTTCTTCTTCTCTCGTCGGTTGGAAAATCTCAGCCAAAGCTAAGCGATATCGAAAATCGGTTAAAGTGTTTCGGGTGGTTTTTTTTGGAGATTTGAGGCATCAGAGAGTGCGCGATTTGTTCCAATGCTTTCATTAATTTGCACCATGCTTCATTGCACTACATAATCTGCATGGGTCAATATTTACTTGCATTTAGAAGGCCGCTTATTCACTTTAACCGATCGGTTCGAAAAGACAGCATTAGTTTGGAAATAAACGGATCAATCTATAGAAAAAAAAATTAACAAAGCACGCAAAACGAAAATGAAATGAGCAAAACCTGCAACAAAAAAAAACAATCACTGCATCTTTTTGGTTTCGAGTAAATTAAATTTTTTTTTTCTTCTGCTAAGCGTTTTGTCAAAGAGTTTGTCTTATTCCATGGAATTACTCTGGCTGAAGAAAGTCAAATAAATAACACCAAGGCTGCAAATAAATATGCCAATACACAATTGAAAGTTTTTCATTCTAAGTAATCCAAAGCTGTATAGAAATTTCGCCTATGTGCACCTTACTAACAGACGCTGACGCTTGTACTGTGCTTTGCTGTGTATGTGTGTGTGTTGCAGTGTGCTTCCACATGGCTCATACCACAAGTTTTCGTCCAAACATGAAAAAATATTATTTTTTTATTAAAAAGAAAAACACTCTTATTTTGATCTTATTAAAGCATTTATTCATGTCACACAGGCCTTATCTCCGAAAACACTTCAATGCCATACGGAACAATGAGTCTGTTTGTACATGATACAAACAATACCCACATAATTGACTATCATATGTATATAGTTTTTGGCAACTTTATTTTTTGCCATCTCTCTCTCTCTCTCTCTTTGTCGCTCGCCCGTTTGTTCGTTCTATTTCTCTGTAGCTTACTCGCTCATCTCCATCTATTTCATTGCTTCTTTTTCATTGCTCCTCTCTCTCTCTTTCGCCAGCATTTCGGCTTAGAACAAAGCATGCATCGCAGGCTATTCTTGCATTTCGGTTTCTCTCTATGTGCTGTTGTTTCGGTGAAGACCGGTGCACAATTTTAGAGACAGTGTCGCTTACAATGAAGTGAAGACATTTCAACACAAATCGTTTGGCTCAATTCTCGTTCATTCGTTTCGTTTCTTTTTTTGTTCTTTCAACAAATCATTTATTATTAGAAGATTGTTCTTTCTTCGGTTAGTTGATTGGTTCGCTTTTTGCGAAAAAAAAAATCTATTTAGTTCTGGTGCTGCTGTTGCCTTTTCCGTCGGTTTTCATTTCATATTGGCGGCAAAAAGACTATTTGCCATTAGTAGCTACATCAGCATTGTTTACATTGTTTATTGTTATTTTTCAATTTTGCTGTTTTTTTTTTTGAAGAATTACGTCGTGCGTTGTTTTCTTCTTCTTCTTCTTCTTCATTTTTTTCTCTCTGTCTCTATCGAACTCTGCCGCTATGGCCTGTGCATGTATGGAGAGACAATAGACAAATATGCTATATACGCATTGAATTAAGGCGATTTTGTGATTTTGTTCTGAAATACAGATGGCTATCAGAACACAATATGCCTTTTAAACTACCGAGACGTGCGCTCATTTACTTCCTTTTCGACACACACACACACACACACACACACACACACTGAACAAGGCAACAACAACGAAAAATATGGTAGAACGTGTTAATACATCAAAAGCTGTATTGAGTTATCGGCATATTGGGCCAATAGTTGCTCGGCTAAATTGAAAAGTTATTCTCTTCACCATTCTTTTTCACACAAGCAAACACAGCCGTTTCTTATTCATTTCAATCATTTTTCAAAACTACTTGATTCCTGCGGTTCTTTTTTGGGTAAAAATATGTTCAACATCAAAATCGTATCGCCATTGACTCTGTGTCGCTCGGATAAATGGTTTTCATTTTTTGGGTTCGTTTAATTGAATAAGCACCCTCTTTCAATGGAAATTACCCAACGCATTACACTTAACACAAAACACACGATTTTATTAAATAATCCACTAATAATTTTCATCAGTCAACACAAATTTAGAGAGAGAGAGAGAGAGAACGGCAGTGTTTATGATCAAATTGCCCGCATGTCCACCATTTAATCTTAATATAACGTTATTTTTCTCGTTGTATTCCAAACATTTGTCATATTTTCGGTCATATCTTGCTTGGTCAGTTATGAGTATGACGAATGTGGAATACAACTCGAATTGGACGAGTCGCATTCCGGCCACATCAATGACAATTACTAAAGTTCAAAACATTGTTTCTTCCAGTTGAACTTACGATGCATTCACTTTTTTTTTGCTTTTATTTCAATGATTAAAGTAGAGCTATTTTTCGTTTCTAATCTTTTAGCCACAATTCCGATTGTTCCGATTTCGTTGAATCAAAAAATTGCATCATTCATTCCACTTACGACGGTCATTCATGCCCATTTCGTTGTGTCGCGAATTTCATTCATAAAGTGCATTGCACATCCAACACAATCATCGCTCTCTCGGTACTTTGCTTCTTTCTTTTTGAAAACATCTCTCGAAACAACAGTGAAATAAAAAGCAAACTTACTCATTGTTATGAATTATGATTGAAATGGTTTCTTGATGCGTGTTTGTGTGTGTGTGTATGCTCTCGTCTTGGCCTCTAGCCTCTGCATCATCGCCAGCTCCGAGATATGTGTTTTTCTTTGTCAATTTTTGTTCCCGTTCAATGTTATTAAATCAGCTTATTTTACTTGATGTTGTACACTTATTGACACAATGCTAGACCCACAAACAATAAAAATCTATTAAATTAATTGGTGTGAGGTCAAAATATTTACCACTTGACCCTTAATTTAATCGCATGCAATACGTGGGCTTTCATTTAATGCACACATATTTGTTGTGTGTTACTTAATTGTTTTCATATTTATGTGTGTCTGAATCAGCAGTACCGTACACACACATGAGATACAATTTTCCAAAAACCGTCAACAAATTCAATTTAAATCGGTAGCACACAAAGATGTGTGGATGAAACAAACGCGTGCAGCAGCGCAACGGCCACCATTGATGGGTTTGTTTTTGTGAAAGAAATGACTAATCAACTAGCAACATTCACATTCTGATTTTCGATCGCGGTGCCAGTACATATTGTTGCATATACACACAACAAACAATGCAATTGGGTGCGACGAATGACCAGCACATATTTTCAATGGGATTTTTTTTTTTACGGAATTTCTTTGTTTCGTTTGGACGGAATACATGAGTGAAGGGACTTAAAATATCAACTTTTGCAAAACGAATGAATTTTTCAACACTTTTTCTTCTTCTGAAACGAAGCATTTTTCATCAATTATTCATGACAAAGTAATTTCGGCTTCAAATTTTAAATCAGTTCACATAATTTGTATGGTTTCAATTTTTCGAATGAAACCTAAGACGATTGGTTAAAACATAAAAACTCGGCGTCTCCATCGAAAAGCAAGTGTCTGCAAAGAAATGACCTTGATGGGTTTTTTTTGGTTATTTCTTCTTTTCAATGGGTTTCAAACGATTTTATGCTGATCCAGCAATAGATTTGATCAGAAATTCAATCGCAACATTTAATTGATGAATGAGCAAAAATGAATGTGGATCCATCCTTTTGAGATGATTCTTCGCAAAAATATCAGTTCCGAAATGAAAACGAAAAATGCAATTGAAATTACAATTCATTTATTAATAACTTTCATTTTCTCTGGTTTTATTCATTTTTTTTAAATCTACTTCCACGGTTTTAGCTGTTCTCTTTTCACATTTTATCAAAAGATTTTTTTCGAAATGAGACTTTTTTTTGTTTCGTTTTCTTTCCGTTATGAAAATCATAGTTACAAATGCAAGAAAAAAACAATTTCATGGTATTTTTATGTGGCTCAAATGTTTCGTTTCGTTCTGGTTCGTTTCTCTTTGCGCACTTCGTTGTCATCGTACGAAACTCTTTCCCGTTTTTCCTTCGACGATTTATTTGAGCTGCGTTCGCGCCTGTTGCTTTCGTCCACATTGATTATCACGTCGTCATTATTTTTCTGAAGTTTCAAAAAGACACGAAAAAGAACATTTTTGTTGAAATAGTTCCACGTTCGAGTTTAAAAGAATGAGGAAAAAAAAATCGAATGAAAAAATGCTAACCTTTGAACCATCAACTCGACGACGTTTAATATCACGATCGTCGGGTGAATCTTGACTGCGTCGATTGTTTGAGCCTTTGCTCGAATTGGATATTGAGCTCAAGTCTCTGTCCCGATCTCGTTCATCGTATGCGTCTGGATGGAATCGGTCATTTGGCTCCGGAGCGTACATTGGTGATGTTGGTTGGTAATATGGGGAGGCTTTGCCATCCGCATTCGAACGATCATTTGGATAGTGAGGAGGTGAAACTGGCGAATAGTATTTGCGATCTCTATCTCCGCGGTCTCTATCACTTCGTTTTTCGCCTCGTTCACGTTTTCTACCTTCACCATCATCTTTATCACGTTTCGAGTCCTTCGATGAGCTTTTCTCTTTGATTGTAATAACCTTTTCGCTGGATTCACGTTCACGATGTTCCCGTTCGCGGCCGCGTGTTTCTCTTTCTTCGCGATCCTTGTTCTCTTTGCGCACTTCTTTTTCCGAATTATTGCTCGTTGAACTGTTGCTTTGTTTGACCGGAACCGAATTCGTTGTTGACGATGATGTCGATGTTGTGGCGACTGATCGTTTCTCTGGTCGTTCAGTCGATTCTTTTGGCTCTGTTCGGGTGACTATTTCATAATAATATAATTAGCTATAACTACCACCAAAAACCATACACCAGACAAATATTCCCGATAAAATGTTTTCCCAAAATACATACCGTGATTGTTTTCTTGCTTTATAGCGGTGGTATCATTTCCATTCACCACTTTTGAAGTTTCCTGTGCATTTTTCACCGGTTTATCGGACATCTGATGGAAATCAGCCTCTTTCATCATGTCAACCGCCTTGCTCTTCAATTGGCCGATGTAACTTGTCGCCAAAACGAACAGATCTTGACGCTGATTCTTTTCCTCTTCGATCACTCTATTCACATACCGTTCGAGAATTTGTGATAGCTTCGATAGAACGGGAAAACTGGGCAGTATTCGCATGAGAATGATGAGTGCATTTCGAATTTGCATGTAGTCTTTCGACTGAAGCAACATCACAATCGATCGTGTGATTTTGTAATGCCACTTGACACACACATGACGGAAATTTTCGTAACCAACATTATCATCAGCCGAACACTGCAAAGTAGAAGACTTTTCCTAATCGTTTTGTTAATATCAAGCTGAGCAATAAATGCGTTTAAGCCATTGGTGTTGAATTTTGTCTACATTACCTGATTGGCAACACGGAATTTGGTCACGAATCCAGGATAGCTGGCACATTCCTTCTCGAATGTTGACTGGCTTGAATGCCATCGCATTACCGTTTCGAGCATTGCGCATAAGAAGCGACCGTAACGGGTTGCCTCGTTTTCAGTACATGATGTCACCGAATAGGCTATCTCACAGAATATCTGCAACGGATGATGATGATTGGGATTAGATACGATGTTTTGAGGAATTTTCATTAAAAAAAAATGTTTTTTCAATGTAATTGTCACCAGTCAACTTACCCTATCATAGCAAAGCAGCGTTGAGAAGTTTGGTGTTTTGAGTGTGTGAATCAAATGAACAAACTTGGCGCAATACATTGCATCCGGTGCGGTGAACGTACATCTGAAAGCAAATTGGGTGTTGTCATTAGATCTCTTTGATATTCTCATCATATTTTTTCATGTTAGGGCATCGAAATTCCCTCTAGTAGAAAACGGCTTTGAAATGGCAACAACATTTACCTTGGGAACAAACAAAGTTGCAGGAATTGAGTGATGGTTTCATTTTTTGCGGACTTTGCCGAACGCGAGAGGAACCATTGATCCTTTTCGGTGTTCAAACGGTGCTTAATTTTATCAACGTGCTCTTGCTGCTTCTTTCGTTCATCTTGCAATTTATCCATTAACGCAATATATCGCTCTTGCTCCTTTCGACTCTTTGACGAGCCCTATTCGAATACGAAACAGATCCAATTTTAGTTCAAAGAATGAAATTTTTCGCATAAATATAGAATAAATATTTTGAGTGAATATAATTACCAGCTCCACTGATTGTGATTGCTTTTTCAATTTCTGGACTTCTCGTTCGTAGCTCTTGTTCGGCACTTCCAGATCGTACATGGCCAGTGACCAGAATGTGACCAGAAATTGTGGACTAACGTCTTCCCACACTTTCATTGGATGGATCAAACGAACCGATTCGACAACTGGTTGAATCACCGCCAATGTCGCTTCTAAATACTTTTCCTGTTTTTGTGCCGTTGACATTTTCTTGATGCTGGTATCTGCCTTTCGGAGTTGGTCATATTTTTGCTGAGAAAAAGATGAAAATTGAAAAATTATTACATTGAACTGGATTAGCCGCCAATGGAAGATGCCTTTCGACTTACCGAAATTTGATGTGCGAAAATTGGTCGAGCCAAAAAGAAAGCGACTTCAGTGTGAATATGATACACTTGGAGCATGTCATGTATCGATGGAAAACGCTCCATATATTCATCAACCGAATATGAGGACCCCAAAAATGTTCCAAACTGCACCAATGTATCCTGACACTGATCGTATAACTTTCCAACCAATTTCAAGTGGTTATCGGCTGTCTCGCGGTAGACCACGCAATGTTTTTGTTGTGCCATCAGCAAACATAATGTAACGGCTAGATCGTTGTTGGCGAGCGCATCTTTTAGACGCTGTGATGATTTCTTCGTATTGCGCACTTGACCAAAGTAGCCAGCTTCGTTGCGGAGTAGCTCACCGCCAGCCATCGCTTCGAGCTGCTCGGTGGTCATTTCTTCAGACGCATCGACACCGGTCATCTTCTGACATACCTCTTTCAGTATCAGCAAATCCAAACTGCAAGGAATTGCAACGTTTAAGTATTTTCTCACAGAAAATCGAATTGGCCTTGCTAATGTTGGCAAGTTTAAAAATCAAAAGAACATCAAAAAAGACAACGGAAAAAACACTCCACCACAAGTTACCTTTTATGTGCTTTCAGTTGATTGGCCACATACTGCAATAGGCCGCTCAACTCAATATTGTACTTCTTGTAAATGGAACCGCAGAAATTGGCCGACCCTTGCAACCACATCGAAAGTGATGTACCGTCGAGCTTGAACCGATTTCGATCAGCTAGCGCCAGTGCCTCGATTAAACAGTAACCGAGCACATCATAAGATAACGATGTTAAATACTTGAGTGAGTCTACCACAGGACCGATAAGATTGTCGTAGATTTGGATTTGTTTCAAGATCTGAAATTCATTACAAAGTCCATCGATTAGTTCAATTCTCTCAAAGCATTGAATTTGAATTATTTTTCTTCTAACTTTCTTTCCTCAAACAAGTTTGAATTTTACTTACATAATCAAACAAAAACCCGGGTGAACAATGGCTCAATTTGCCAATGGATCGGCCGACCGGTTTCACATTTTCTTTGCTAACCCGTTTCATCAGTGCTTTGATTTGTTTTTGAGCCAAACCACGACGTCGTATCAATTTCGGATGGATCAAATACGTGTCGTTCTTCCACCGTGCATACAAACTGTAGCGATGATGGTATGGAAATATTTTGATAATGGACCAAATCTCTTCGGCGATACAGCAATTGCAGTCCATGTACGACAGTGACGGTAAAATGGATGCATCAATCAATGAAATGCAATCGTAGTAGAGTAGTTCATCTCGTTCAGTCTTTGGGCTGGTATTTGCATCGACTTTCATGTCCGTTAAAATGGAATTCATAATACGTATCAATTTATACAATAGAATTGGATCATGATGCATGGCTGGTCCCAATTTTATAGCCATTGCAAACGCATTGTCATGCAATTCGAGTATTGAAGTGGCTTTCGGTACGGATAAAGCATTTTGATATGGCAACGGTGCGCCTTGCTTTCGATTCTTCAACTGCCCATAAACCGGATCGATAACGTGATGGACAAGACTAGCTAATGCTTTTGCAACCGGTTCTTTCACAATCACCGATTGCTCGGGCAACTTGTCGATAAAGATTTGTGCCGTTTTCCAGTCACCAACCGTGAGCAACGCCTCACATAAATTCCACTTTTGGTTGAACTCATAATTCTCCTAGAAGAGAACAGATGTGTTTAGTTTGTTTTATCGAAAAACAGATGGATTTACCAAAAATTTAGCCAATTTAACAAAAGTATATCGAATTCAATGGGTATTTTTTGAAATAAATCATTTCATTCAAATCAGGTTTGAATTATCTATTCAAATTTTGTACAAAAGATATGGCACATAGCGGTTCATACCTCAAAATCATCTTTTTCATCGTCGACTTCCATTTCCTTGTCTTTATTCGTTGAAATCACATTCAACTTCCGGACATATTCCTTAGCGTCATCGATCTCTTGATCCCACTCTGATTGCAAACTACGATCCGTTGGGCTCAGCTGAAATTCAATGGGAATCATGAGAAACTCGTATGAATATTATCTTATATCACATATAAGTTGAACAAATATTGAAATATAAAAATAAATCAAATGAAAGAAATAGTAATGAATTGAGTCTAAAAATAGCATCTTTTCTCAGCAAAAATGCGAACAATCAAAGAAAAAAAACAAGAAAGAGAATAAAAATAAAATAATAAAACACCAAAACCATGATTACAACACGCACCCAAACATAAATGTCATCCAATCGAATCAAACCGCATTGCAGTAACAATGCGGTTATGATGTAGAGAGATCGTGGTGTTTCTGTGTCGTGGAAATAACGGTATTTGTATCCTAAAATCTCGCAGATAACATTAGCATTGGGCATGTATGACCTCAGCAATTCGATGAATAGGCGGTGTTGTTCCGGTCGGGTTTCGAATGATTCTAAGGTGATGTCCAGCACACGGTTTGGATCGAGATTAAAGCAACCTGCAAATTGAAGGAAAATGATGAAATATAATCAAACATGTGGAACATGATCGTAACCAGTAAATTTGTAGAACAATATCGCCTCTTCAGATAGTACAGAACAAGATATGCAATACTGAACAAGTACCGTTCTTGTTTCGTATTCAAGTATTGTTCAGTTCTATGTGATTTGATTTGTGAAAAAACATTTATGTGATTGCCACAAAGAAGAAAAAGTTTGGAGTAAAACTTAAAACGAATCGCATACCAATCAATGATTTGATGATTTCCAGCATTTTGTTAACGGAAGTGTGTTCAATGGACTCGTTGTTCAATTCGGTGATCAACTTTGCATAGCCTTCGCTCTCTTCACGGAACAAATTAAATCGCCTCTGCTTGAAACTAGACGGAAAGCGAAAAAAAACTCATTATTTTAGATTTCGATCCAAAAAAAAAAACATTCAACGTGACGTGACTCGGAATCGAGAAGAAAAGATCCATTTAAATTTCCAAATGAAAAAAGCATGGCGTCACTCACTAGAGTTTTGTTTTCACTTTGATGAACCGCTGATAAAAGTTGTTGACGACGCTGCTTTGTTTTTTGATAATCCCGGCGTCTTGCAGTGTATCGATCTCAAGACGTTCTTTCAGCAATTTATCCGACAAAAATTCTTCCACTTTCTTTACAATATCTTGAAATGCGACGCGTTCGTCTGATGGTGCAGAATTATCATTACTTAGTTTTGCGGTTTCGGCATCGAAAATGCCGATAATGTCGATAATCACGGACGGCAAATCAGTGTGCATTTCCTATATTTTCCAAGAAAATCAAAACCAAAATTTAGCCCAAGCCGAAAAAAACCACTATGCTTAGCATATTTACCGCAATGTCAGCGAGTATGGTAGACACGACATCTTTTTTAGTGGTACCTCTGATGCCATCATTCAGTAAATCGTAAATATATCGGAATATTGGGTTTTTGCCGTCGGTGCCCAAAAAATATGGATTCTCATTGTTCTTTGCAAGGCTCTTCAAATATTTTGCACTGGAAAAAAAATATTCGTCGAAAAAAAAAATGGTTCAATCAATTGTCATTCCAGTTGATTGTCACACAGTCTGTTCGATTGCATTGACGAAAACATGTGCTTGAAAACTACAAACACCAAGTGAACACAGTTATCTGGATGTGCATAAACATTTCGTCAATGTTTACCGTTGCCAAAGACATGATTTCCAATCCAATGTGACAACCGTAAACCACCTCAATTTTACTTACATTTCTGATTTGCCCGATTTTTCCCATGATTTTAACGCATCCAACTTACTACTCGATGCCATATTTGCAACGGCACAATTCGATGCTTCACAATTGCCGAATCGATTCTGTGCTATTCAAACAAATGGTATGCACAAATTTCTTTCGGATTAAACTTACTATTCGAATGGAAAGAAAAAAAAAATGAAGTAAAAAACCGAGAAACGAAGAACGTAAAATGATGTTATTTCTCTAGTTTCACTTTAGCTATGTAATATTCATACGCGCCATGTATTGTCAAATCGCGTACTATGAAAAGTGTTCGACAGCGCTCGCACACACTGACAACACACAACATTCAGCAGCAACAGCAATGAGTGTTGAACAAGCGTCGCATGTGAATGTATGCTTTGTGTTGTCAACGTTGAATACCAATTGACAAGCAACGTTTTCGATTTTAGGAGTGCGTTCGTTAGTCGACACACGCACCAACATTTTCGGCAAAACAAACCAAATTCCATTTGAGGTCATAAAACTGATTTGCTATTTTCTCCGTCTATTTATTCAGTTGTTTTATTTTGTGTGCAGCATTTGTTCAACAATTTCGAATATTCTCTGGACAAAACAAGTGATTGCTTGCAATATTTTTTTTTTTGGAAAAACAGACGCTGAATGTCACAAACCAATACAAAACTACAATATACACATTGTGTAAGTCAACGTTCAGTCAAAGGTTGCTTTGATGAGCGAACGATAGAGAAAGAGAGTGTGTGTGTGTTTGTGTCTTTGTGCGCGTGTTTGTGTATCGAACAGAAAAAAGAGACTAGTTCATTTTTCAAATGACATTCGAAACATGTGCTAAAAATTTGGACGGAACGCAAACAAAAACAATCGACACTAAGAAAAAATTCAAAATAAACAAAGAAATCATTTGTTATTGGCTGCGGTGCAAAAGCAAAGTTCATTTTTATGGAAACGTTCAGGTTAACACTAGTGTGGCTAATGAAATTCACCCAAATCATGGCGTTAAGTAGTTCGAGCTCGAGTTTACGAACATTATTATCGTCTTAGACGAAAGACATAGGCGACAGAGAAAAAAAAAATTATTACCAACTGAATGACAAAAAAAGAAAGTTAAAGGTTTTGTTTAGTGTTGCGTAAAAGGATTTTTTCCCACTATTTTTGGTCAACGATTTATCTACGGAAGAAAAAAAATTTCCAACGGGAATTTGTTGATGTGTGTGTGAGATGAAAAGAAGCATAAATGATTAAAGCCGTGCAGAAGAATTTATGTGAATTGCCCAAAGCAAACGATGTTGCACCGAGCAAATCAGATGATTTGACACTTAACCGAGACATTAATACCACAGACGATGAAGACGATGACTGCGTTTATGTATCGCCGGATGAAGCTGAAAATGGTAAAAAAAAGACACTTCTTTCGATGAAAATCACGATTTTCTCGTAATTTCACGACCAAACTAAATTCCACTTAAAAACTCAAATTCCAGAACCAATACTCATCGATTCGGACACAGATGGTGGCCGAACGACCAAAGTCTCGCGTACGAGACGAAAGACGAGCCAGGTGGAACGTGCCAAAGTGGTACCTGTACGACGAAAATTGATGTGCTTCTGTACGAGTATCTATTGTCGTAATTGTCTGAATGAAAATGCGCGTAAAAAATTATTCCAAATGTACATTTGCCATCCGATTATCACGACGCATGTGAAAATGTGCGAAACCGTTGCGCTGCTCATCAATTTGCCACAGGACAAAGTTCGTCGAATCTTTTCGCGACTGCAAAACTATTTAATCTCAGGCAACGATGATCCAACGGTGCTGCAACTGAACAAAGCGTTAAAAGGTTACGAGGGTAATTTTCCGCGAACATTAGCACCGCTAGAGCTGTGCCAAATCAAACGAAAGCTACTCTCCTCGAAACCAGTTTGGTTCAACAAGACATTTTCAGCGTGTTGCCGCATTTTTCGATACAAAATCACCGCGGCCAAACTGATAAATGTGCTGAATGAAACGGGTAAAATCAAATTCCGTCGTATAACAAATCGAATCAGTAAAAAGTCTAAATTGATTGCCATTGAAGAGAAGAAAATCCGGCTTGACCGTATCTCGTATATTCGACGCATACAAAAGTACCGCAAGGATGGGCAACGGATCATTTACATCAATGCAATGATGATTGGTGATAAAATGATTGTCATCGCAGCTGGCCACGATGGACCCATCACATCAGCATTCATAGCGACTACCAATGCTAGCGGTTTCTTGAAATGGCTATCGAAAGATATTATTTCGAATTTGAAGGAGAAATGTGTATTCGTTCTTGGGCCGTCGTGTACATTTCGCAGTGAAATTTGCATCCCACAACAGACTGATTCAAAGGATACGATCATTGCGTGGCTTGAGAACGAGAAAATCCCATATAAAACCGACATGTACAAGACTGAACTGTATGAACTACTCTTGGAAAATAGCAGAGGAAGCTCGGAAACGGCCGAAACGGGCTGTACCGTACATAAAAATCTCAACAAAATCGATCATGTCGCTTTGCATATCCCGAAAGAGAACCGTGATCTCGATCCATTCGAATACATTTGGTTCCAGATTAAGTTGCGCATGATTGCCAACGGAACGGCTTCGTTTAATATCAATGGACAGCTGACGAGTTTACCGCGTGACATTTGGATTGAACAATTCGAACGTGTTTACTCAATCGAAAATGTTTATCTGCAAATTGAACGTAACTTCGATCGGACATTTCGACGATTTCGCATTGATAACGACGACTTTAAGTCACATGAAATTTTACATGCAATTGATCACGTCTCATGCTAATGTTTACCCGTCACAAATTGTGTCTGATGCGCCACAGCCTTCGGCCGTCAGCAGTTTTTCTTTCTTTTTACAGTTAATGATTATTATTTTTTGTTTTTTAACTTTAAAATAAAGCTTTTTTTTTTGAACAAGTCATCGAATGTTATATATCGAAGATTGGGTGTTTTATTTATAGCAGTAAGTCATACATCAGGAATTTGTCGAAAATAAGCGCTTCAAATGAAAATTATCGTTTAATAGTTAGATGATTCATTTAAATTACATATTTGAATAGTGAATCTCATGGAAGTCTCCAATGATCGACGGGTGCAGTGTTTGAGTTTACAATGAAAAGCAATTCGACGATATATGAGATTGTTGCTTATATCTATCTTGTCGGTGGGTCGACTTTGTGAAACGATAACAATACGATGAAATAGCGTTGGTCTCATTCTCACACAGTCTTGTGACGCACACACACACACAGCTCACCAATACATCAGCACTGTGTCGTGCACTGACATAAAATTCCAACGAAAATGCACAGCATCAACATATTCCATTCCGTTTCGGTTGGTTTAATTCAAGTGGTACATAACCTCAACGCTCACATAAAGCTATGATCCCATACAATTTTCAATAGTTCGCCGTAGTTCCATGACGTTTCACATGTGCCAACAACTCAAGTCTCCACACACTGTAACAAATGGGAAGCGATTCATACGTGGTGACGTTCATACTTTTTCTGATGACTAACTTTTGTCAAAACACACATAAAGAAGAAAGAGAAGGAATAAGAAGAAGCAGATGCAGTAGCCAGCCAGCAGTAGAAGAAACGAAAAGAAAGAAAGAAAAGAAGAAAAAAATAAGTTGGTCATAGTTGTGTGTTATGTCGACTTAATTATATTTCAGTTTTATTTCGCATACAAAAATATACAGTACACGCGAACAAAGCCATTTTATTGTCGATCTGAAAGTGAGCATAGGCAAATTTTACACATTAATTTTATCATATCAGTGAGTGAAAATAATCCCGAACAAAATTTTCCAATTACAGACACAGTAACATAGTGTGAGGCTCGCTAGAGTGAAATACAGAGAAGAAAAAACTAGTACCGAAGAGAATATTCAACAATCCTCCCCCTTTTTTCACTCGATCTATTTCGCCAGTGTGAATTGAATTAAATTTTTTTGTTTGTTTCGATTCCATTCCCCGTAAGCAAAATCGTCGATTTATTTCGTACGTCTTCCTTTTTGTGAATTCGTCACTTTTTCTCTCTCTCTCTCTCTCTCTCTCTCTATCTCTTTTTTCCCATCAATTTAATATATCAATTTAATCATTGCAATTTGTGTTATTGTGTATTTGTGCAGTGAATAAGAATAGGCGCGGGTCAAGTAGCTGAAATCAGTGACACTACAAATCCAAGGCAAAGTAAACGACAAGAAAAAAAAAGAAAACACACGAAAGAAACGAAGTTCTAAAAATGGCTACCAGAGATGACGAATATGATTACTTGTTCAAAGTGGTATTAATTGGTGACTCGGGCGTTGGTAAAAGTAATTTGCTATCACGATTCACACGGAACGAATTCAATTTGGAATCAAAATCAACAATTGGTGTAGAATTTGCGACGCGCAGCATTGAAGTCGATGGCAAAACGATAAAAGCCCAAATTTGGGATACTGGTGAGTGTTTTGTTGGAAGTGTCAATCGATTGTTGATAATACGGAACTTCCTTTAATTATTAGTTTTTTTTTTCTTCCACTTTGTCCATTCTACAATAATCTCTATCGTTGCACATTCATTGAATGTTTTTGTTTTTGTTCTCTTTCTCTCTCTATCTCTTCTCTTCATTTCTTTTCGCTTCTTTTCCATGTGGATGTATCGGTGTGTATGATTGCTGTGCATTGTTCGTGTGTCATTCTATGGCGTGCTGCACAATATTTATGTTGTTGCTGTGGTTCATCATTATCATCATCATCGTGCCCCGCAGCTGGTCAAGAGCGATATCGAGCAATTACATCGGCATACTATCGTGGTGCCGTTGGTGCACTGCTCGTCTATGACATTGCAAAACATTTAACGTACGAAAATGTCGAACGTTGGTTGCGCGAACTGCGCGATCATGCCGATCAAAATATAGTAATAATGTTGGTTGGTAACAAAAGCGATTTACGACATTTGCGTTCCGTGCCAACGGAAGAGGCAAAATCATTTGCCGAACGAAATGGTTTAAATTTCATCGAAACATCGGCACTCGATTCAACGAATGTTGAGGCTGCGTTCCAGAATATACTCACCGAAATTTATCGTATTGTGTCGCAAAAGCAAATCCGTGATCCACCCGAAGGCGATGTCATTCGGCCAACCGTCGAACCGATCGATGTGAAACCCGTCTCAGCCGAATCAGTGCGCAGACAGTGTTGCCAGTGAATTTTCCGTTTCTACCCCAGCACCAGATACATACGCGATTTTGTTGTTTTTTTTTTGCAACTAAAAAATAACTAAAAAAAAAAATTATACATTTCATCCGTTGAAGCCGTTTCCTAGAAAAGAAAAGAAAAACACAATTTTCCCTATCCAGAAAAAAAAAACATAACAGAAAAAACAACAACAAAAACACCTTGATATAAACTGAGAGAGAGAATTTTCTAGTTTTTCTCCGAATTTTATTTTATATTTTCTAGAATTTATGAGAAATATTTTGTTTGCCGGTTTTTCAATGCAATTTGTTTAGGTTTGAAATAATCAAAATAATAAAAGAGAAATGAGATCTAAATAATAAACGGCGAATAAAAAGAAAGAAAAACACTATTTGTTATTTGTAGTTAAGTGAACACACACAGAGAGAGAGAGAGAGGAATGGGAAGAAGGAGAATATAAGAACCATCCTGCTTCTCACCGAAGAAAACAATTGCATTATTCCATATATTGATAGGCACGAATGTAGACCAATTTAAAGAGAGAAAAAAACAAACGTATGCCGGTTTTCAAAAGAAGATAAAAAACACAGCAAAAAAACTATATTGAATGGATACAATTTTAATATTAGTAATTTAAATAAAACAAAAAAAAAAATCAAAAAAAAATAACAATAAATTAATTTCGCTAATTAAAACCAATTGAAATCGAGGTCATTTGACACCATTAGAATTGATTTAATAACAACAAACCAATTAATTGTTCACGCTGATGCGACGAATTATGTTGAAAATTGAATGAATGAAGAGAGAAAAAAAATAATTGTTGCTAATTTTCAATGGAACTGCATTGTACACATTTCGCGTGGCTTGCGGTGCACAATCAGTTTCACACCAATATATCATTTTCACCAATATCATTTCAGGAGGAAAAAAATACACCGAATTTTTGTGAAAACGAAAAAAAACAATATCTGTTGAATTGAATTAGTGGAAAATGACCAATAGAATATTGTTGGTTATATTCCACTCTATAAAAAAAAAATACAATAATTTTTTTCTGCCGTCGTCACTTTCGTTTTGCGCTCGATGTGTGAGACACATGGAAATCAACTCGCTATAATATACACAAACTATGTATGTATGAATTAAATTTAATTAAAGAGAATGTATGCAAACACAAGACAGACGTCTATGTAAAGAAAACTGATTACAAAAAATGAAATATTAATAAATGAAAAACATCAACATCAACAACAACAACAAAAACGGAGTTTTTCGGGCTATTTCATCTGATCTTTTGGTTCTTTGACGTGTTTTTTTTTGCTTAATTTTTTTCTTTTTCTTTTTTAATTTTTTTCCTTTCTTTGCTCGTCATTCAAGTTGGCGCTGACAATTGAAAGTACTCCCAATTAAGTTATAGTTAGTCATTACAGGCTGTGATTAGAATTTAATCATTGAATGGAAAGAATCAAATGAGAGAATCTAGAAAAAGGGAGAATGATGAGATATGTTCATTCTCCCTTTTTCTAGATTCTCTCATTTGATTCTTTCCATTCAATGAATAAATTCTAATCACAGCCTGTTATGACTAACGGCAAAAAAAAATGCGTTTTATTTCCATCAGTCGAAAAATTTACATATTTTCCGTCGCAATCACTCAATTCTCATCGATATATACAAGTGGCGATATACAGCAAAATTTGACTTTGAAATTCGATAGCACTGTTCGAATTTGGAATAGCAATGTGTTTAGTCAGCTATATCAAAAATAGAGTACTTACCATCCGATTCCATGCATAATAATGCTCCATAATTTTTTCTACACGTTGCGATAAAATCGCGCATGTTGTTTTGAATTCATTTGATGCATTTCAATGTAACCGTGTTACATTGTCGCAACTGGCGAGTGTAATGCTCGCGAGTCACGACGCAATATAACCAGCGTACGATTTGTAGCTGTCACAGTTAGTTTATGTCATTAGAAGAGAAAAGTTTGTCTTGCTTTGTAACCCGCTTTTTTCCGATGCGGTCATTAGAAAAATAAATAGACAATTAACGAAGCGTTTGCTTGTGTGATTGTCGCGCGGTATTGTGCCGTGCACAAAGAGAGAAGGCAGAAAAATATTACACTTTGTAATAATAAAGTGTTTTATTGGTGTGTTTGTTGTTTGTATTATTATTCTCCAATTACATGTCAATGGATTGCTAGATAGAAATGGTATTTTCTTCTTCTATTTCTTCATTTTCATTTATGTCTCCATTCCATTGTTATGTCATTCAGATCAGCCATCGATTCGCTCGTCATTGAATGAGCTTTATTTGTCTGCTTTTTGAAAGAGCCTCTTTCTATCGATGACATCAAGTCAACTATAAAATGTCAATCATAAACACATTCGACGATTTTTGCATTGACAAACCAATATGTACTTAGAAAACAAATAGGCAAATAAGGTACATACACAAGCATTGAACTATTCGTCGATAAATTTATTATTACAACTACACATTTGGTTGGCATTTGTTCTGTGTGCCTAAACATATAAGCTTACGTATATCTACGGCGGTGTGTCTTCGTGCTATCGATTGAGATAGCACGGTTCGATATGAAAATTAAAATGTGCGACGATAAATAATTTCGATATTATACAGAGACTAGCAACCCTATGAGGAACTTTATAGTCTATCCATCTATGAAAAAAAAAACCATTGAACAAAATTTCTTTTTCAGTTTACTATCTGTCAACACTGTTGACTCGACACATTCGTTTCGGTGTTTGTTTTTATTGCTATGAGACGTCATATGATACGCATATTTATTTTTGTACACTGTACAAATAGCGTTGAACAAGAGTAAAAGAAGACGAACGAACGAATGAAAAAAACCAATTAGTTGGTGAAAAATTCGGAGAAAAAATAAAAATGGAACAAAATTATGAATTAAACATGCAGGGATGGTAACTGGGTAATGAAATAAATTATGCTAATTCTTTGTTGTATTGTGTTTGTTCTACGAAATGTATTTTTTCTCCAGAGCTCTCTGTAGCTTGTAGATGATAAAAAAAAACTGTTGCTCCATTTATACTTGGTTCATGTTGTCTTGAAGCCATTGCAAAATCAACGATATCGTCTTCGTCGATGGAACACGATAGTCGGCGTACGTTTCAATCTCCGATCGTTTTGACACTCGGAACGAGAGACCGTCTCCCTTTAATGCCTGTCATCATAAATATCATCAATTATAATTTGCTGGGTACGGACGAAAATCAACGAGAGAAAAAATTAAACAAAAAAATGTACCTTCATTGCATCCTCATCGGTGGTGTCATCACCGGCAAAAATTACTTTCACTTTTTCGGGCCAATTATCGCCAAACTCCTCACGCAAAATGTATAACGCTGCTTCACCTGTGATTCAGCCGTGGATACATAAAATGAAGCGTTCGGTTTTTATTGCCGTGTTTATTATGCAAATGAATTTTCGTCTCATTGTCATCGGCAAACATACCTTTGTTCCATATTACGGGCGGTTTTGCCTCGACGGCCGCATGAGCTGCATTCGCAACATATCCATATGACTCAATTATACTGGTCGCACGGGCTTTGTACGTCGGTTGATCAACTTCGGGTACATCACGATAATGAAATGTTAACGATTGCTTTTTATTTTCAACCCAGGCGCCATTACCTCCCAACTGTGTCAGTCAAAATATAATTAAATAAATAAAAATCGCTTTAGTCTTCAAACAAAGGCCGAAAACAGAGAAATAGAGAGAGAGTGAGACCTTGTCACTTACGCTCGTTTCAAGTTCAGTGACCATTTTTTCGTATTTTTGACGCGTTTCTTCGTCAATCTCATGGTGATACCGCGATTTATTCCAGAAAATGATTTCCAATCCGTGATTACCGGCATACGTAATCTTCTCCAATTTCACTTTTTCACGCGCGTCCTCCGCCGACCGTCCCGAAATTATCGCCAAATACGTATTTGGATTGGTTGCTAGATTTTTCAACGCAGCCTCAGATTCTGGATCAATCTCCGCCAAACTAGGATGTGGAGCTAATGGAGACAATGTTCCATCGAAATCCAACAACAACGCCAACTTGTCATCTTTTCCAATGTAGCTGTCAAATTGTGAATGGAATTTTTTTTTTCGCAAGTGTTAATAAAAATTCATCGAATTTTTCAATGAAAAATTGTGGAGAATCCAAAGTAGATTCGAAACATCGGAAATAGAATGAAATTGGGTCAACTTACGATGACAAAACGTCATTGATCTGTTCAATGTCTCTAACAGTAGGCACAGTTTTAGCCATCGCTCTTCCTTCTATCGCCAACAAAACACAACTACTGAACGTAAGTACAGAAATGACAGCTGCCAAACTCACTGTAATCAAAACAAAACGAGAAAAAAAACACGGGACAACGATAAGTAAATGGATAAATTTAGAAATTCGTCGATTTTCGATGTTGTGAATGAATTTTTGCCAAGAATTTTATACACACATGAAAAATGGTACAGCACGTGTATGTGCGTCGAGCAATCGGAATGGATTATCAAAACGTAGTCAATGGACTGTGAATATGGTTCACACAATGAATTATCTCGGTCGGCTTATGTAGACGATTTTGTACGAACGAAAACCGTAGGTGACTGAAAGTGAGATAAGGCGACACATTGATTTAAATTTGTCGTCGAATTGCTGTTGTATTTGCAAATAAGTAATTGGAGTCCCATTCTCTATTTTCCATGCCTTGGATTTAGTATTTCTTTGAACTATCGATAAGCAGCTGATTGACGCGCGAGATTATACAAAGGGTAAAGCGACAATGCAAACAGGCGGAATATATAAAGATTGTGCAATGTTTGCGTCCCAACTGACGAACGGGGGTATTTGCTATCACAACGATTTGTTTTCCTTTATCGATTATAGGTCATTCTCGTAAGCATACGATGAAAAAGAAAAAAAACATTGAAATGAGGAAAAAACACTCCCAATAAAACAGAGATAATCGCTGCTTGTCAAACACACACATTTCCTATGTCGTTTTCATTCGCTGCATTTTAATGAACTTTCGGAAAGTTTTGCAAGCGTTGCCCCTGTAATTGTAAAGTGTGCCGAGAGTTTATGAATTACGCATTTGGAGTAGAAGTCGGGAACAATTGAATTCGAACCGATTCGCGTATAAGATTTTCAGCAGAGATGACTTTAGCACACTCAAGTGAGCTACAGCGCACCCGAGTATTTTTGTTGTTTTGTCGTTCTACTTTAGCTTTTTGGCCAGGATTTTTTTTAAATAATATTTTGTGTAACATAACGAAGAAGAGGTTACATTTTCTGCCCCCGGTATTCGCATTGTGAGGTCATATGCACCTAGTAATTACGCGCATTGGCTCAATTTCGCAATAATACGCAATTTCTACTTTTGGGGATTTTTTCTTCATATTTTACTAATATAAATGTGGTTTTTCAAAAACTGTTCTTTGTTATGTTACACAAAATATTGATACAAAGTTTTTTTTTACCAAAATGGTAAAGTATAACGAAGAAAAAAACAAACAAAAAACAACACAAATACTCGGATGCGCTAAAGTCATCTTTGATTTTCAGACAATTCAATATGCCTCCACAGTGCGAACTCTGCCCAAGAATAGCCTAAAAGTATGCAACAACATGCTAAACGATATCAATTGCTGAAAGATGAAACGATGCGATAATTTAAAATTACTCGGCCGCGCGCATTCAATTTGTAGTCGAAAACATCGGCTCAATCAATTTAAAGTTATGTAATGCAAACAATAAGCAATTTTCATGTCCAAGGATTACGACTGAGCTGTGTGTTGAATGCTAAACAATGACAAATTGATCTCTTTTCTTCTCTCTGTTCTTCTCTCGCTCTCAGACGTGTCTAATTACGTAAGAAATAGTACTGAGCAATGAGCGTGTCATTCATTCAACAAGTGAAAACAAAATCACCGAACTAACAACAACAACAAGCAATAGAATGTGAAAAACGTTTTTTTTTCGGCGAATTGGCGGACGTTGCGACAGAACGTGTTCACGTTCGTCGTTGTGGTCATCGCAATGAACGTTAGGAGCCTAATCGTCCGAATCATTATTTTCAATCTTTAATTTGATTAGAAAACTATTTATCGTGTGTAATCATGATGTTGCAAACACGTTTTCGACTATGGCTCGAATTGAATAATGAGCTATCGTTTAAAATGACGGCTTAATCAGTCTAGGAAGCCGCGAATGACTTCGTCAATTTAAAGGGGCTTCGATTTTAAAATAAGAATTTGAACTTGTGCACTTTCCCACTGTGCTGTGTGGCCCGCGCTGTGTGTGTTTTGCATGATAATCGCGCATGATGCTGATACACTTATGCTCTACGCACAAGTAGAAAAATTCAAACTGGGGGTAAATGACTGACGCAGCGCATTTTTTTTTTCTTTGACATAAAAATAAATCGCTATTATCAATTGTGTACGTATTACGTTTGAATGTTTGTATGAAATAATTAGCAACGCAAATTCGAATTTAGACATCGACGGCGACAAAGAAAAAAAAGGTCGAAATAGCAAACAACAAGTTAAATAAAGTTTTTTTTTTGCGGAATTGTAAACAAAACAGTTATTTTTGGAGGAAAAAAAGCTCATACGATTAATCCCAATTTAATATTTATTTAAAAATTGAAGAACTGAGCACAAAAATTGAAGTTTCATTTGTTTCGCAAACTTTTGAGTCGATCAACATCAACACTCATTTGATATACATTTGTTTTTCGTTAGGTTTTTCAATTCTTATCACTTGCGACGTCTGCCACATGAATTTCACCGTCGTTTGAATGAGAAATATTACAAAACTATTGAGTCATTAAATTAAAGTTTGATAATAATTTTAAAAAATCTCATCATCGCATTACTTCGATCACGCAAACAAGCGACTTTTTTGCATAAAAAATGACGTTGAATGAAAATTATACACTACAGACATACGGAAAAGTATCTGAAAAAAAAACTTACTTTTGATTTTTTTCTCCTTTTCGTTTGGATTTAAAATAAATATTTCATCTATTGCTAATTTAAAATCTGGTCGATTTTTGTTGTAAAATTGATGTACATCACTTTTTGTTATAAAAACTAAAAAAAAACAACTTAAAATGCGAATCACGTGCGGCTTAAAATGCGAATACCGACTTGTTGCTCGTAATATGTCGTATAGTCAATGGCAATTTTCACCTGACTAAATAAAAATCACAATACTTCCGGGATGTAAATACTTTAAGCAAAAAAAAAAAAAAATTCATGTTATTATTTTTATTCAATGCATGAATTTATCGTAACGTCGTTTCCATTGTTGGTTTGTTTCGGTTTTGGTTTGGTGATTATTTTTTTTCTTCTCCTTAATATCGCAGAAACGAAAAAGTAAATTGGCTTGAGCTCGCACACGTTTGTCACTTTATCTCTCTTAACACTTCAACGTTCGAATAACGCCATTTGATCTTCACTGTGGGGTTTTATTTGTGCTGATAGAGAGAGAGAGAGAGCCAGGGCGACGTTGTTTTCAGAGAGTGGCAGTCCGATCGAGACCGTGTCTGTGTATGTATTGATAGACGAATGAAAAACGAGCAAAATCATGAATTGATTGTATGCTACCCGCTCTTGCCACAAACAACACATATCGCAAATATCTTTTGTTGCTCCATCGATGCGAAAATAGACACCAAAACAAGTGATCGCGTGTGAATTATTCCGTTTTGATTTTGTTCTGCTTGCCTGTCGGTTTTTTTTTTCTTCTTTGACTTAACTCATTTGATGTTTCATGCAATTTTTTTCGTGAACTTTTGCCAGTGTGTATGTCATGTACGGCACACGTACTTCACCATGGACTATGCGTCATTTTGCACGTTGATAACTTCTCAACGCTTTTTTGCCGCTCTATTTTCAATCATGCTATGACGTGATCATACTCTCTCTCTCTCTCTCTCTCCAAATACATTCATCACAATATCGCGTAATCGTACAACTTATGTCAACAACAACAAATCGACTCATATTTTGAATAATAGTATGCTGTAAATGAATACTAAGAAACAAATTGGGTAAGCTCAATTGCATTATATTAATGTCGGACCACCATCCACTCAACTAGATCAATGGCATGAAATGTGCCACTTCTCTCGGTTTTTTTTCCTTCTCTCTTTCGTTCGGCAATAATAACGGTATGAATTATGTCCTCATAAGCCCAATTGATAATCAGACGGTTTATCAGCTTAAAAGAGCCTCCATTTTATTTCATAAAGCATCCAAACCGAATGAATGCGGTTTTATACATTGAACATGTCTCTTTTTGCATTCAGCTAAATGGAAATGTACCGTCATTTGATAAATAATCGTCAATTTTGTTAGTCGCTAACACAAAGCGACTTCTATTCGTACAAGTGTCAAGAAATTTTAGTAGCCACATTCCTTCACGCAATTACACTTCGTTAAACGTGGTATTTACCGGATATTTCACGCTTCGCCAAACATATCTGAGAGACGAAGACGATTCAGTTACTTCAAGGTCGAATTAACGTTCGATTTTCAAACTTTGTGTGTGTGTGTGTGTGTGTGCGCTTTTATGCAATATCCAATAGAATGTCTTTTAACTACTACTTTTTATTCATCTCTTCGAACTGGTTCATTGAGGTGTCGCTTTGAATGAGTTCAACGTGCGAGCGCGCTAAATGTGTTTCCCAACAGCTGTTTTAATTGGATTTAATTCAATCATCTATATAGATAAATGTATGTATTATACATTTTATAAGCTAAAGCATACAACCCAAATCTATCAACCCATTGACATTAATCAAACATTTGGACGAAAGTTCGGACATATTTTAACCAAATTAATGGCAGTCATTTGGTTTTTTATGTAAGTTTTCCGAACAAAAAGGTGGACTTCGGACGATGTATGCTTTTATCTTACTCTTATTTTGGTACCTGAAATGTTCATATTTCGTGAAGAAATTCATTCAAACGGAAATTGTCACGGAAGGAAAAATCGCGAGTGAAAAGAATGTTGTTATTTGACGAGTAACACACTTACGATTCATGTATGAAGTAAACGATCGGCCAAGTGAGAGCAATGTGAGCGGAGTACAAAAGCAGCAAAATCAATCAGCAGAACGAATATGTATCAAAAGCGAATCGAGTTGATCGATATTTCTACATAAAACTAGAGGTGTCAATTGAACAAATTTCGAACAAATTTTTTTTGGGTACGTTTCGAACAATTTCGAACAAAAATTTTTTTCAAACACGAACACAGTAAACAATACAGCGGCACCTAGGGACTAAGTGCAATATGTCATACTTTCAACGCTTGAACTAACACAGACGCGTACTTGTTATAGCAAACTATGTACATGATTCTCTATTTCTCCAACCAGTCGCCAGGTGCCGCTTCATTGTTCTTGTTTGACGTTTCCTATCTATTTGTACAGACGATCAGCGAGGCTGCACGAACATTTCAGGTCGAAATTCTGAATTTTTTTTTTCGAAATTTGTTCGATTGACACCTCTACATAAAACTGAGACAGAACAATAATTGCTTGGATTGATCTAAAGTTGACATTAATTTCACATTCGAATTTCCTCGAAATGTAATTAAATTGAATTGCAACTTCATCGAAACGCAAATTCTGTGAAATATTAAAATTTGCTAGACCATAAAAGTGTTGAAAACAGCTAATTTCCCAATGTTCAATCTCGTTTTTCAAATAAACTGCCCAGACTCAATCATTTATTGAGTGAGTGGTCTGTGCAGATAGTTCTAGTAATGAGATAAGAGTATCGTGAGAATTGTGATTATCAGTCTTAATTGCTATTCATTGATTCGGTTCGAGTTTAAGGGACACACCTTCTCCGGTTCCACTCTATTTCAAGAAACGTGACCGAAAAAAATTCAATGAAAACAGTAGTCGATCTAGGGGAAAAGAACTATTGGTATATTTACTTTATTGACACGTATTGACAAATATTCACAGGCATTTGCACTGCGTTCCGTAGTGTTATTGTTGTGGTTTTCTTCTGTTGCTTCGTCTCGTTCGTGGCGAGCACGAATGAAAGTTGCAAATACGCACATTTCATTGACCATATTTGCATGCATTCGCAGCTAGTTATTAAGCGCATTGACACGCATTGACGCGTATTGATCCAAACTCGGTAGAATATGCGATTATTTAGAATATTTATATTTTCATTTACTCAGTTCTTTCCCCCTAGTAGTCGATAAGTCCAAATCAGTCGAAATTTAATCAGAAAAAAAACCACAGGCCAAATAAACAACATGATGATATTATCTAATGTTGTACCTCAATCTACCTTATGTTAAAAAGTGCTTATATCAACCAAATAAAACCAGTTCGAACGAATTATGAATAAAGTTTTGATAATGTTTCGCAAAGTATTTGATAAATTGCTTCGCAAACTCGTTTCATTCATATTTAACCCTCTAATGCATACAACCGCCTCTAGACGGGCAAAATTTGAACACCTGTGGAACGTAAACCGTACATCGGATCACATTGCTTCGAAGAGAATTTTTATTCGTCAATGTTCATTCTTTGTTTTTGTCTTTGGCAATATTTGTCTATGTAGTGTGATTGTAAAGTTATAAACGAAAATTTGTGCAAAAACAAAAATTTGACAAAATAAATTATTCGAACTCTAAAT